TGAGTTGGAATGGATTTGAGGGCACACAACAATAGCAACACACACCTTCACAGGGACGGTGTGGTTCAGTGGTAGAGTTCTCACCTCCCACGCGGGAGACCTGGCTTCATTCCCAGCTGATGCACCTCATTTGCAGCCGCCATCTGCCTGCCACTGGAGGCTTGCATGTTGCTAGGATGCTGAATAGGTTTCAGCAGAGCTTCCAGACTAAGATAGAGTAGGCAGAAAGGTCTGTGATGGACTTTGGAAAATCAGCCAATGGAAACTCTGTGGATCGTGACGGTCCAAGCCCCAACCCATCATGGTGCAGGACTGGTCAGCGTTCCTTTGCACATGGGGTTGTCACGAGTCGAGGGGAGTCGAGGGCTGACTAGACAACGGCTAACACACGCCTTCATACACTCTCAAGGCAGTGACGTCACACCCACAGTCAACCCCTTCCCCCACCACACATCGACGAGCCCATAGGACCAGAGGTTTGCAGCTTCGCCCCTGGGGACATGCACGCAGTACAGTGACATGCTGTGGACACCCTGTCACTAAGCCCCCTGCCTGCCTCTGGTCGGGGCTGGTTCCCTATCCCGGGCAGGGTTGGGGACTGGGCGGTGCGGGGTCCACGCTCACCCCTACCCTGCCTCCAGGACCTGGCCCAGTGCGTGAACGAGGTGAAGCGAGACAACGAGACGCTGCGGCAGATCACCAACTTCCAGCTGTCCATCGAGAACCTGGTGAGGGGCCGGGGCCGGGGCCGGGGCCAGGGGTATGGCCACGGTGGGGAGACATCTGGGCCCCTTCTTGGTGGTCCCTTGACAGACCCTCTATCTGCTGCGCAGGACCAGTCACTGGCCGACTACGGCCGGCCCAAGATCGACGGGGAGCTCAAGATAACCTCGGTGGAGCGGCGTTCAAAGATGGACAGGTGGGCGGGGCCTGGGAGGGGCAGGGCCAGGTTTTAAATGGAAAAGTGGGTGGGACTAAGAGAGACTGACAGGGTAGGGCCAGGATGGACGTATGAATGGGTCCAAGATGGACAGGTAGGTAGAGCCTGCGTGGGGGCGGAGCCAGGTGCCTAGATAGACAGGTGAGTGGGGCCACTTAACCAGAGGGTGGAGCTTAGAAGGACAGGCAGGGCAGTACCAGGATGAACGTGTGGGTGGAGCAAGATGGACAGGTGGGTGGAGCCTGGATAGAGGCAGGGCCAGGCTCCTAGATGGACAGGTGGGTGGGACCAAGAGGGATTGACGCGGAAGTGCCAGGATGGACGTATGGTTGGGGCCAAGATGGGCAGGTGGGCCGTGCCAACACAGATCTGGGGTGGAGCCTGGGTGGGGCGACTTAACCAGGGGGTGGAGCTTAGACGAACAGGCAGGGCAGGGCCAGGATGGACATGGAGGCGGGATCAACCCAAATTGCGTGGGTGAGGCAAAGATGAACAGGTGGGCAGGGCCAAGCGGGCGGTGAAAGAGGAGCCCTGGAGGTGTAGTTGAGGTGTCTCAAGGTGGAGCCTGGAAGGGGAGCCGGCAGAGAGCTGGTGGGGACAGGTGGGAGGCGCGGACGGGGCGCCTGACTTAGTCACTCCTAGGTACGCTTTCCTGCTTGACAAAGCCCTGCTTATCTGTAAGCGCCGCGGGGACTCCTACGACCTGAAGGACTTTGTGAACCTGCACAACTTCCAGGTTCGCGACGACTCCTCTGGGGAGAGAGACAACAAGAAGGTGGGGCTCCGAGGCCAGAACTGGGGTCCCGTGCAGGGCAGACTGGGGCTCTCAGGATGTCTTTGGAATGTCTGTGTGTGTGTGTGTACATGTGTGTACGAGCGCTTAACTCTTGGGCCACTAGGGCTCCTCCCGTAAAGATGACAGCCAAGAATATCCTATGGGGCAGTTCTACTCTGTAAGCCATGTGGTCACCATGAGTCAATGACGGCAACAGTTTTTTTTTTTTTTTAATTTTTTTGGTTGATCTTCTGGGCACTGTTCTAGGCATATAACTGAAAACAAAACAGACATGTCCCTCCCCTCTCCGATGGAGCTTCCGTTCTCGTGGGAAACAAGAAACGACAGTGATGTGTTCTACAAAGAAAGTAGACAGGGTGATGTCACCATGAGGGGTGAGGGTGGAAGGGGGCCTATTTTAGCTCCGTTGGTCAGGGACGTTCTCTGTGGAGGCGACAGTCCCCTCACCTCTTGGGTCTTCTCACTTCCTTCCTCCCTTTCTGCTGGCCACCTCTTCCTCTCTCCTTAGGCCTCCTCCGGGGAACCACTGCCCCAGCGCCCGCTGCGGCTCCTGTTTCTCAGCCCCCTGTCCCTCCCTTGTTACGATGCTAATGATGCTCTTGTAATGACCTGTTTACGGGCCTGGCCTTGGGGACAATGTCCTGTCCACTGCTGTGTCCCCAGCGCCTAGCTCAGAGCCTGTCACCCAGCAGACACCCAACAAGTGCTTGTTGGAGAAACAAATGAGTGAAGGACGTGTGTGTGTGTGTGTGTATGTGTGAGTGTGTAATTTTTGGCTTCTGAGTATGTGCTAGATATCCTGGGCAGCCCTGTACCAGGGTCCCCATGCATGGCTCCCTAGGGGCAGGGGCCTGGGGGAGTCTCACCCTCTGGGAGGAGGCTGCTATTGGTCTGACTTGTTTTTCTGGTCCCTCTGGGTAGCGCTAATGGTTTGCACTCAGTTGCTAACCTAAACGTTGGCGGTTTGAACCCACCCATTGGGGCTGTGGAAGAAAGGCCTGGAGATCTGCTCTTATAAAGATTTCAGCCGAGAAGACCCTATGGAGCAGTTCTACTCTGTAACGCATGGGGTTGCTATGAGTAGGAATTGACTCGATGGCAACAGGTTTTACAGGGGCAGGAGAATCCGTGGGTGGCTCAAACAGTTAGGAACTTGGTTACTCAACCCTGGCGATTTGCTTTCAAAAGGTCACAGCCATGAAAACTCTGCAGCACAGTTCTACTCTGCACACGTGGGGTCACTATGAGTCAGAATCAACTTGATGGCAACTGGTTTGGTTTTTTACAGGGACAGTGTCAGTGGGTGCATGGTCCCACCCTCTGCGGTACGGGTGCCAGTGATCTGACCCTTTTTCTTCTACAAAAGTAGGACATAGTGGGTGTGTGGTCCCACCCTCTGTGGGTGGGTGCCATTGGCCTGACCCTTTTTCTTCTACAGGTGTAGGGTCGGTAAACCAAACCAAACCCATTGCCGTCAGTTGATTCTGACTCATAGCGACCCTATAGGACAAAGTAGACCTGCCCCATAGAGTTTCCAGGGAGCGCCTGGTGGATTTGAACTGCTGACCTTTTGGTTGGCAGCCGTAGCTCGCCGTAGCTCTTAACCACTGCGGTTGGTGCGTGGGTATCATTGGCCTGGCCCTTTTTTCCTCTACAGGGATAGTGTCAGTGGGTGTGTGGTCCCACCCTCTGCAGGGTGGGTGCCATTGGCCTGACCTTTTCTTCTACAGGGATAGGGTTGGTGGGTGTGCGGTCTCACCCTCTGTGAGTGGGTTCCTTCAGTCTGAATCCTGCTTCCCTATAGTGGACCCACATGTTTCTGCTGATTGAGGACCAAGGCACCCAGGGCTACGAGCTGTTCTTCAAGACGCGGGAGCTGAAGAAGAAGTGGATGGAGCAGTTCGAGATGGCCATGTGAGCCCTTCCTTCCCTCCATCTTTCCATCCTCAGAGGAGGCTGACACCTGGACCCAGGGTCTGGGAGGCAGTTCTGTGCCTGAGTCCCAGCCCTGCCCTGACATTCAGTGGGACCTCGGATCAGTCTCTGTTCCACTCTGAGCCTCAATTTCCCCAACTGGGAAATGGGAGGGACAGGCTCAAGGCTCCAAGGTTCTGTGCAAGCGGTAGCCACCTCTTCTCTTCCTTCTCCTTCTTTTATTGAGGTGAAATTCACCTAACAAAAAAGGAACCATTTTAAAGTGTACTGTCAGGGGCGTTTAGTACATTCCCTCTGTTGTGCAGACTTGACCTCTGTCTAGTTCCAGAACATTTTCATCACGCCCACAGGAGACTCCGTATCCACTAGCAGTCACCCTCATTCCCCCCTCCTCACTCCTTGTCATTGTTAGCTGCCAATGGCGTGGCCTCTGACTCATGTCAATCCTATGTGCTACAGAGTAGAACTGCTCCATAGGATTTTCTAGGCTGTAATCTTCACAGAAGCAGCTCGCCAGGTCATTCTTCTGTGGAGCTGTTGGGTGGGTTCAAACCACAAACCCTTAGGTTAGCAGCTGATTGCAAACCCCTTGTGCCACCCAGGCTCCTCTCTCCCCACCCCTGACAACTACTCATCTGCTTTCAGTCTCTATGGATGTCCACAGCAGCATTATTGACAATCACTGAAAGATAGAAATAACCCAAATGTCCATCAGTGGATGAATGGATACACAAGATGTGCTCTATCCATACAATGGGATATTACTCAGCCATAAACAAGGAGCCCTGATGGTACAATGGTTAAGCACGCGGCTGCTAACTTACTAAAAGATTGGCAGTTAGAACCCACCCAGTGGCTCCGTGGGAGAAAGACTTGGTGATCTGCTCCCGTAAAGATCACAGCCAAGAAAACCCTATGAAGCCATTCTGCTGTGTCACATGGAGTCGCTATGTGTTGGAACCAACTCGACAGCACCCAATAACAACAAACAGTAATGACGTCCTGGTCCTCTCTCCGTTTATCTTCCCCCTCTAGCTCCAATATCTACCCTGAGAACGCCACCGCCAATGGACATGACTTCCAGATGTTCTCCTTTGAGGAGACCACTTCCTGTTCAGCCTGCCAGATGTTGCTGAGGTGGGAGGCTGGGGGATGGGCCTGGGTCCTGGGCTTGGTTGGTCCTGCCCCTCTGCAGGGGCTCCCCCAGCAGACAACCGCCTGAGCTGGGAGGTGTGAGACCCTACATTGGTCCTCAGCTTCTCCATCTCTGTCCTGCTCCAAAGAGAGCCCAAGGGGTGCCTCATGCTGGGTGTGGTTGGCAGCATGGTTGACCATGTCCGTTAAGACCACTGACTCCCCTTCATCTTTTCCCTCACCCCAGAGGCACCCTCTATCAGGGCTACCGCTGTCATCGATGCCATGCCCCTGCACACAAGGAGTGTCTGGGGAGGGTCCCTATGTGTGGTCGACATGGGCAAGGTACCATTGGGAGAGAATGTGGGAGGTGGGCTTGGATCTCCATGGGGTTCCCACTGGGAGAGAAGGATGGAGGTGGGCTTGGCTCTCCATGGGGTTCCCATTGGGAGAGAAGGTGGGAGGTGGGCTTGGATCTCCATGGGGTTCCCATTGATAGAGAAAGTGGGAGGTGGGCTTCTCACTCTGTGGGCTTCCCATGCCAATAATTTTCTGTTCCTTCCCATAGATTTTGCAGGAACCATGAAGAAGGTAAGACCTTCTCACACTCAAGTTCCTTTTTGTGCATGGAAAACCATGGGAGGCAAAGAAGGGAGGACGCAGGAGACCCCAGTAGTAAGCGTGGTCCCTTGTTGAGTGTGCACGTAAGGGCTGAGGATCCCCCAGTCTGGGTATGAGTCACCATGCCTGCTTTCCTGGTCTCTCTCTCCCTCCAGGATAAGCCACATCGAAGGGCTCAGGACAAAAAGAGAAATGATCTGGGTGAGTCAGCAGGGGGCGCTGGGTGGGGCGGGAGGGAATCTTCTCTCTGCCCCAAGGGTGCTGACCCAGGGACGAAACCAGTTGCCACTGAGAAGACTCTGACTCGTGGCGACCCCATGTGTTTCAGAGTAGAACTGTGCTCCATATGGTTTTTTAAAATTCTTAATTTATTTTATTTTTGTGGTTGAGAATATACACAGCAGAACATACACCAATTCAACAATTTCTACATGTACAGTTCAGTGACACTGATTACATTCTTCAAGTTGTGCAACCATTCTCACCCTCCTTTTGCAAGTTATTCATCCCTTAGTAACATAAACTCACTGCCCCCTAAGCTTCGTATCTGACCTTTGTAGTTTTTGTTGTCAATTTGATCCCATATAGACAGCTCTTAAAAGGGCACAATGCTTAAGGCAGGCGTTCTTTACAAGTT